AAACACGATTTTTCATCTTATTCCTAGTCGTCGAAAAATATAAAAAATCAGTAATCTTGCGTAATATATGTAGCCACATTAAAACGCTGATTGGCTAAAATATGGCACTCCGAAATCCCGAAAATTATCGACTTTTCTAACGAAATCCAAAAAAATCACACATCTTGCGCAAAAAATCACCATTCAATGTATCTAAAAACGATATTTTTATTTTATTTCAAAAAAAAATTTCCCTTCGATACTATTTTGTTTATTTTCAAATGTTTTACGGTTAGCCCAAAATAGCGTCTTGTAACCCGATACTTTATCGAACGCCCCCGCCAATGGGAAAGAATACCGTGGTGACAGACCGCCGTGTATTGTGCTGCAAATTTTGAAAAAAACATTCCCAACTCCACCTTTGACACACGGAAGAAAACGATTTTTCTCATCTGAAGGAGTCAGCGTTGAGTCTTTTTTTGAAGCGATATAAATTCGACTTACCTGGACAAGACCCCGCGTTGCATTGTCGTGTCTCTCCAGACTGCCCGGCACAGTTCGCACCTCCGTTCGCTGGTGCAGGGTTGGTGCAGGTTTTACTCCGATACTGGCTCCCGGACCCACACGTCACGCTGCAGCTAGACCATCCGCCCCAACTCGACCAACCTCCGTTAACTACATGGAGACAAATCAAAAGTAAAGTCTTCTTGAAAAACTCAATCTCCGTACGTTTCAAGTAATGCTATAGACACTTCTACGTGTATTCTTGCAAAGTGTAAAAAGCATTCGAAGGGGTAATGATTGTCTTTAGAATCTAAATGGACACCTCTTTCTGTTTTGAGTAAAGAAGTTTTTTTTTTTAAACAACCAAGTGTTTTATTCACATCCGACCTTTCGATGACCGTCTGTCCCGTTCCTCAGGGCAATTCTGACTGGTTCACACTGCACTGCAGCAGAGGTGTTGCTGCTATGCATGTGTCATTCTGTTTCATCAACTTGGCCTCTGGCACACGAGACGATATTATCTATCTTATCTGAAGGAGACAACGCTGAAACTACATTTTGGGCGATAGGCATGTATGACTTCTACTTACCTGGACAAAACCCCGCGTTGCATTGTCGTGTCTCCCGAGACTGCCCGACACAGTTCGCCCCACCGTAGGCTGGTGCAGGGTTGGTGCAGGTTCTACTCCGAGACTGGCTCCCGGACCCACACGTCACGCTGCAGCTAGACCATCCGCCCCAACTCGACCAACCTCCGTTAACTACATGGAGACACATCAAAATGTAGGGTCTTCTCGAAAAACTTAACTCCGTCCCTTTTAATCGTAGACACTTTTAAGTTTAATGTTCGTACTGTGCTGCAAATTTTGAAAAACATTCTCAACTCGACCTGTGACACACGGGAGAAACCTATATTTCCTACCTGAAAGAGACAACGTTGAAACTACATCTGTTTGGATATTTAAGGCCACACCAAGTAAATTTTACGGATGACGTCCTTTTGAGACCCTAAATCTAATGCGACAGGGCGAAAAAAAAACAAAAAGGGCCCTAAACAAGAAGGGCCCTAAAAAACAAGATGCCTAGATTAGAAATATACTAAGAGACAACAAATGTTAGGACACAAATTGAATGAGGTGACACAGTGTAACAAGCAAGAAGTCTTTTATTCATCATCAAAACAGTAATAAATCAGGTGGAACAGCAGTTGTCGTCCTGTCCTGTTTCTTTCATCACATTTTTGCAGGCCTGCAGAAACAAAGCATGTGCTCTTTACCCATTTCGCGTTACGGGTTTCACGTCAATCTAACGATTTGCGGCACTGTTGTGACTCTTTGGTCATAGTCACAAGAAGCGGAATTTCTTGGGTTTTTTTTTAGGAACAGGCCAAAATCAATGCGCGCGCGGACGTCATCCATAAAATTTACTTCGACTTACCTGGACAAGACCCCGCGTTGCATTGTCGTGTCTCTCGAGACTGCCCGGCACAGTTCGCCCCTCCGAAGGCTGGTGCAGGGTTGGTGCAGGTTCTACTCCGAGACTGGCTCCCGGACCCACACGTCACGCTGCAGCTAGACCATCCGCCCCAACTCGACCAACCTCCGTTAACTACATGGAGACAAATTAAAATGTAAGGTCTTCTCGAAAAACTAAACCCCGTCCCTTTTAACCGTGGAATGTTCGTACTGTGCTGCAAATTTTGAAAAACATTCTCAACTCGACCTGTGACACACGGGAGAAACCTATATTTCCTACCTGAAAGAGACAACGTTTAAACTACATCTGTTGCGATATAACTTCGACTTACCTGGACAAGACCCCGCGTTGCATTGTCGTGTCTCCCGAGACTGCCCGACACAGTTCGCCCCACCGTAAGCTGGTGCAGGGTTGGTGCAGGTTCTACTCCGAGACTGGCTCCCGGTCCCACACGTCACGCTGCAGCTAGACCATCCGCCCCAACTCGACCAACCTCCGTTAACTACATGGAGACACATCGAAATGTAGGGTCTTCTTGAAAACCACGTCTCCGTCCCTTTTAAGTAGTACTACAGACACTTCTACATGTATTCTTGCAAAGTGCAACGAGCATTCGCAGGTAAGATGATTGCATTTGAAATCTCTTTCTGTTTTGTAAACTTATAACGTGTGAGGTCTCGTGACGTAACGACAGAATGCTCGACTCCGAACCAAGAGTTCCCGGGTTCTAGTCCTGACATGACACCGATCTTGTGCCCTTGGGAAATGCATTTTACACAACTTTCATCACTTCGTTATGGTGAAAATGAGTATTGTATTGTCCCTTGTAACGGTGGTGGCATTAATATGAGTTAAAAAAAAACCTCAAGTGTGTCACCACCATGTCTTATGATAACATATTGGCAAAAAAACTTTTAACATTCTCAACAGGAGGATATAATCTTTCTTGATAATATGAAAAAAAAGACATTGAGATTACATTTGCGCCGTTAATCATGTATAATTTCGACTTACCTGGACAAGACCGAGCTTTGCATTGCAGTGTCTCCCGAGACTGCATTTTGTTTACACGAAACGTGCCACAAACATAATCTTGCTAACACGCATCAGTAGCTATCTTTAAGGTGTGCAATTACAACGCATACCTTCTAGCAGCTGACAGATGAATGACCGGACGTTTTGGCAGGGTGAATCATTCCATTCCGCACCACGCATTTCGGCACAGTCTTCGCCACCACCAAAAGAGTTCGGCTCACCGGGACCCCAGTTGGTATAGCCGGTAGACGCCAGGGCTTGGCCGTCTTCAAATACCCACTGCCCTTCGACCGTGGCGTCAGTCAGACCAATCCAACGATGTTGATTTCCACCTCCTGCCAGGTTGTAGATGAAAGTGTTGATCGCGCCATTCTTCGGCATGGCTAGCAGTCCCCCGTCTGCCGCACACGTCTGTTTGGCAGCAGCATACGTCTTAGACTCAGCAAAGGCCTTGTAGCAAACTCCATTAGAACGGACGTAGCCGGATATTGGACACACTGTAGAAAAATGGAACAAGTATAGGTGGCTTGATAAAAATGTACTTACCATTCACTAACTTCAACGGTATGAAGTTAGTAAAGTTAGTGGCTAATGTAATGACTTGTTACCCAGTGGTAAGAAGTACAGTTTTTTAACAGTCGTAAAATAAAGCAATGGCCGCCCGAGGTCCTGAACGATTTTCATTTGGATATTTGTGACTTGTCCAAAGGAATTCCAGCTACTTTAAATGACGAATATTGCATGGGGCCAATGGCTATACCACCAACCATTTGGGAGATGGCATTTTGTTCACACGAAACGTGCCACAAACATAAACTTGCTAACACGCACCAGTAGCTATCTTTAACCCTATCTAGACCGGGCTTTTTTGGGCTTGGTTGGACCCGGGGGGGG